TTTTTGGAGAGTATGTAAGTATGAATGTAAGTTTGTATGTATGTATGTAAGTATGTGGGTATGTATGTATTTAAGTGAACAAGAAAATTCTTTTTCACGGCCTACAGCCCAAACGGATAGTTGGATTTTGACATATTATGAGGTGTCGTTAGATTCGTCTCAGCAGCGCAAGTGACACTGGCTATATTAAAAAATTATAGATTCAAGATGGCGGATTTGTACAGCAAAATACTGGATTAAAATTACCGCAGTCGGGTTTTTGTTTTTTTACAAAGAAGGCGGGGAACTGGGTTCATCGTATTTAGTTTAAAGCACATTTTCTTAATCTTACATACATAAATATATCATGCCTATATCCCTTGCGGGGTAGGCAAAGCGCAAATGGCTGTAAAATCGGCCATATGCGACAACCGCGGGAAAAATATAGGGTGATGCTATTTTAAGCCGGCACCACACGGCAATTAATCAATTTCACTTGAAGGTAATAAATAAATTAAAAAAAAAAACACTTTTGCTGTCATACTATACTTAGATTCAAGCTAGCCCGAAAACTGTCCGAAAAATTATAGGCATAAAAAACCTGCCTGATTGTACAAACCATGTTTAAATTTTAGGACAGTTTTTCAGGCTTGAATGTAACCCGACCTAACATGTAGATAAACTTAACAATGAAATAACATAGTTAAACCGTGGCCTGATTATGCTCGCCTGCCTGACAAGCAAATGAGCCAAGATTACACCAAGGCGTAGTCTTGGCTCATTTAAGTAAACGTAGAAAACTGCTAGTTTTACAACAGGATAGATAGAATAATGCTAAAAAATACTAGGGAAAATTGTATCATTGTCTCCTGAAAACACTAGCCATTGGCAGAAGGGCGACAGCTCGGTGAAAATCCAATTATTACTTAATGTTTATAAAGAATATTAAGAGTTTGCGCTGCATGTTTATGGTATTAGGTACTACTTGATTGTACTAACTACTACTTAACTTACCCAAGTTTCTAAAAATGATTACAAAAATACATAAAATACCTGAACTTTCTAAGACAACCATTCACAAAAGCCATACGAACCCCCGATAAACTCAACCATTTTTTACCCCACAATCAGATGTTCAGTTCAAACTCTCACTTGAATGAATGAAGTAGTGTTCTAAAAATAGGCTGTGGGATTAAAGCTGAATGGGCCACCCCCCCCCCCCCTGTCACACCCCCGGGGAAAATAGGGCACTGTGTCAGGCTTATGACGTCAGGGTGCGCCGCGCGGTGACGTCACGACGCATCCAGGTGGATCCAGGGTAGCAGGTCAGAGGAACAGTTGACGGCTTTTTGACGCACGTTGCGCTTGGTGCGGTCGGTACAAAACTTTGATTGTCTCATTAGCCTGTGTGCTAGTTTATTTCCATAAAACTTCTTTGTACTGATAAGTACTCGTAACATAGCTAGGACACATTTTATTTTACTTATCGGTATGTATGCTGTTTTTGGAAAACATAGTCATCTCATCAATAACGACACGATTTGAGTCCATCACAAGTTGTCCACGCGTAATAGACACTAAAAATAACCACTATGTAAGTAGGTAAGTAAGTAGTGTGACGGGTGACCCTAAGTGGATAAAAATAAGAGAGGGTACTCGTCATCAGTTACAAAGATTTTATTCAAATATCAAATAAAACAACCGGAAGGGTCGCGGTAGGTACGGCCTAAGTAGTCTGTTTTCGCTGGCGTAGAACGGTACTCCCCTGGCGAAGAAGGTCGACAGGCGGCTGGGTCTTCACTTCAGTGTAGAGGTCTCGCAGTCGCAACTAATAGTGAGCTGGTACTGCAGGAAGCGTCTTCACTTCGGAAAGTCCACCGTCATGGGTGTAGTGCGTAGCGGAGATATTCTTCTGGATGTTTCTTAACCCGTAGGGTAACAGTTCCGTGGGTAACAAACCCGAAGGTAATCCCCCAATTGGGGTTTCCTGTTGCGCGTAATAACTATATAAAACTATGGCAATAACGTGCCGATGTCGAGGTACGTTACCGGCGTCTTTTACGATAACGGTTTTATTTGTTTATGGGAGCGCGTCACGTCCTAGTGCGTGAGGCGAGATTTTCGGAATCGCCAGTAGCGGTCAACCGTAGCTCCGACACAAAGGCACGGAGACAGCCGAAACATGTCGATAGTTTCCGAATGTGGACCCGGCGGTTGTTAAGGGCCGTCTTGACCAATCAGCTTGCTTAAAATATCACGCCATGTTTTAGACAAAGGCTGGAATGTGGTACCTGGCATCTACTGACGCCGATCGGTTAACAAAGAACTCGACGGCCTGAGTATTATAGCCGCATCTCGACTTGGAATTTGTAAACAGTGACGATTTCAGATTTGATAATATCCTACTATGAAATTATTTTGTTACTAAGGTATTAGGTTTGTAATTAGGTTTAATTAGAACACTTTAGGTGTTTAAGTTAAATTAGTAAGAATATGTAACTGCAACGTTACATTACCCCGCGCGCCACAAAAGGATTTTATTGCATCTTTCCGCAATAAAATCCGTACTATACAGTTGCTTATTCGTGTTAGCACTTTCATATCTAACTTTCATACTTCTCACAAACAAAAACAAACAATAGGAACCACAATATGGGTTTCTAACGCATCCATTCATTAGGTTAGGTTACTAATATATTAACTGATTAGAACCCGCACGAATATGTTTAGTACTTCCGGATAGATAACCTGCGCGATAGGTAAGTAAGGACAGTTAGTTAGTTGCCTAATGATACCGTGCCAACGCCAACCGACCCTTCTGAATTGTCCTATAGTCGCCTCTTACGACACCCACAGGAAGAGTTGGGGTGGTGCTATTCTTAACCGACACCACACGGGAAATGAAAATCAAAATTATTTATACAAACTAACCGATTTAAGATCTTTAATATGCCAAGTTCCAATGTTTTTTCTTGACATATCTTCAAGCACATAGACCAGAGGGGACTTCTTTGCAATAACTCGGCACTTAATGAATTTGGGTGCGAGTTTTTTGCAAAAATACTTGTCTTTGTTACTTAAAACGTAAGTACGTTTCATCACAAGATCACCTACTCTAAATTCCAACGGCTTCCTGCGAGTGTTGTAATGAGATGCGTTTTTTATGTGAGCGTGCCAGAGTTTTGATTGAACATTGGTGAACAGTTCCGACAGGCAGCTGGGTCTTCACTTCAGTGTAGAGGTCTCGCAGTCGCAACTAATAGTGAGCTGGTACTGCAGGAAGCGTCTTCACTTCGGAAAGTCCACCGTCATGGGTGTAGTGCGTAGCGGAGATATTCTTCTGGATGTTTCTTAACCCGTAGGGTAACAGTTCCGTGGGTAACAAACCCGAAGGTAATCCCCCAATTGGGGTTTCCTGTTGCGCGTAATAACTATATAAAACTATGGCAATAACGTGCCGATGTCGAGGTACGTTACCGGCGTCTTTTACGATAACGGTTTTATTTGTTTATGGGAGCGCGTCACGTCCTAGTGCGTGAGGCGAGATTTTCGGAATCGCCAGTAGCGGTCAACCGTAGCTCCGACACAAAGGCACGGAGACAGCCGAAACATGTCGATAGTTTCCGAATGTGGACCCGGCGGTTGTTAAGGGCCGTCTTGACCAATCAGCTTGCTTAAAATATCACGCCATGTTTTAGACAAAGGCTGGAATGTGGTACCTGGCATCTACTGACGCCGATCGGTTAACAAAGAACTCGACGGCCTGAGTATTATAGCCGCATCTCGACTTGGAATTTGTAAACAGTGACGATTTCAGATTTGATAATATCCTACTATGAAATTATTTTGTTACTAAGGTATTAGGTTTGTAATTAGGTTTAATTAGAACACTTTAGGTGTTTAAGTTAAATTAGTAAGAATATGTAACTGCAACGTTACAGTAGGCAAGTTGGTAAGTTCAGAACAAAGAAACTTGATATCTGTCTGTAAAGATACAAGATGATTGACTAACAAGTGCGTATCTGCCTGTCCTAAACCTGTCCTTGTCTTGTCCACTGGGATGATGATGATTGCACAAAACATGTCAGAAATCTAGGCATTTTACTGAAGCTATTATGCGAATCTACTGTTTGTTTTACATACACATTGACGCCTCTATCCCTTGCGGGGTAAGAAGAGTGTTAGCGGCCGTAAAAGTACGATCGGCATCGCCACGTCTGACAAATATTTTAAGGCGGTTTAAGATAAATCGTGTACCACTATAGTGATAGATACGGTTAGCCTGTTGCCTAAAATTGTAATACACATGAAAACCTCCAAGACCTTCAGTCGCCTTTTACGACTCCCGTGAGAAAGAAATGGGGTTATACTATTCTAAGCCGGCATCACACGACAAAATTTGTCTCTTTTACCTACAGGAAAAACATTCTGTCTGCAAACCAGCCTACAAAACGTGAACCAACAGAAAATGCTAAGTAGGACACACACAAGTATTAGCCACGTGAAAAGACGGAAAATGTAAGCGGCAAAAGTTTCAAAGTGAAGGTTTGCTTGCATTGCATTCATCGCGGAATGAGCCTAGGGGCTACTTGGCTATGAATGAGAGAAGAGATGTGTTTAAAAACATTTGAAAACAAGTAAAATGAAAATAGAGCACATAGAATTAGGTGGTAGTGGTGGTGACGGCCGATGTGGCGCAGTGGAAGGGCTACTGCTGCGCAAAGGTTCCGGGTTTGATTACTACTCACAATGTCGATATCTTTTACGTATTACTTTTTTATTTTGTTCTCAGGTTGGCTAGGATGTCCCATAAGACAGAACTATGTGGTGTTGGTGTACCTATAAGTTCACCGATTTGACAAAAATGAAAAATTTGATTAAATTGAATGCTAAAACAATGCTAAATTTTCTCATAAATAAAAAATGAGAAAATTGAAAAATTCCTTAGCGACCGCCGGGACTTAAACCCGGGACCGTGGGTGGGGTACGTCCCAGTCCGTCCCACCCGCCTAGTCCGCTAGGCGCCCGTGGTAGCTCAGTTGGCAGAGCGGTGGGAAGGTACCCCACGGTCTCGGGTTCAAGTCCTGGCGGACGCTACTCTAAATTTTTCAATTTTCAATTTATGAGACCTTCTAGGGTCTATGTTACCAAAAACTGGACATTTTGCGAATTGGACATTTGAGAATAGGACATTTTGCGATATGGTCATTTTTCGTATTGGACATTTTCAAAATAGGACATAACGCGCCAAGACCATGGAATAACCCGATGAACCTTGGCGGTCATTACACTTTCATTGTCACAGAACCAAGACAAACCGATATCCGGTTTAATTGTGTCAAGGTTTGTTAATAAAACACTATTTAAAATTTGTGTGAATTAAATAAAATATAAATAAATGCTCATCCACGAGACCTAATAGTTGCAGTAGGCGTATAAAAACCTCCGACGCAGGGTCTGCAAGTAAATTTTTTGGCTGAGTGTTTCACACGAAAAGAAGATACATACATACATACATCACGCCTTTATCCCTTGCGGGGTAGGCAGAGCGTCAACGGCCGTAAAAGTACGGTCGTTATCGCCACGTCTGACACATATTTGAGAGCCGTTTTAGCTATTGTCGTGTATCGCTATAGTGACAGGTTGTCAGCCTGTCGCCTAAAATTGCAATACACATGATACCCTCGAGTCCTTTAGTCGCTTCTTACGACACCCACAGGAAAGAAATGGGGTGATGCTATTCTAAGCCGGCATCACACGAAAAGAAGATGATTAGATGAAAATATTTAGGTAGTAGAAACTCTTAGCCTCAACCGATATGGTGCCAGTTTAAAATTCATTCATAACATAAATTATGAAAGTCGTACGTATACCAATCAAACACCTACATAATAAAAAAAGCAAATCGATAAAATATAGGAGCTATAAAAGATAGGATAAAGATAAAAGATAGGAGCTCGATATAACCCTACCGTGAGTTAAAAACCCGTTATAATGTCTTATAGGTAGTTTTAGTGATAATAACCACGAAACCTTAAAATCAAGTGAAGCAAATCGATGTTTGTGATATGGCCATTTCAAATCGAATTTAGGGCGAGAACTCATGAATCTGATCGATAGACGACAAAACCAGCAAAATGCAAGTGAAAGAAAGATAAGAGGCAAAAGTTTCAAATTGCAGGTTCGCCGGTTTGCATTCATCACGAGATGAGACTTAAAAATAACGCAGCATTATCTACCTGTGAGCAAGAAAAGGTAATTTTATTTGTTAAATAAAATCATTGATGATTTTATTTAACAAATAAAAAGTAATTGCAAATAAGCAGGAAGATGATGATTCATCATCTTCCTGCTTATTTGCAATTACTTGGGGTCGGTGCTACACGTTTCGTTGAACACAAAATAGTGTTGCAAAAGGATTTGGCTGAATTTTACGACCAGCCGCCTACCAGACGTCAACCCTCCTTAGGAATACTTTTATGGTAGATTAACCGCCACCATACGGTTGGCCCTGGCTATTTAGGTCGGGTTTATCCCTCGGTCGCCTCTTACGGGAAGAGAGGGGGTTGTGCTACTCTACTCTGTCGGCACCACACGGCTATCTACTCTGCCGGCACCACACGGCTAACTGAAATATGCTGAGAAAAAGGAAATTATTAGGTATTTGCAGTAATAAATTTGTAAATCAAATTAACGACCTCCAGCTCTAAAACTGCGTATCAATATCAACTTTTAGACCACAGAAGAGGCAGCGAAATGCTGTGAAAGAAAGATAAGAGGCAAAAGTTTCAAAGTAAAGGTCTGCATTCATTGCCAGATGAGACTTGAAATGAGTCTGCATTCCATAAGATCGGACCAATTTTAAGCTCAATTTGGCAACTGTCAAAAAGAGCCTTTAAAAGTGACTAAAAGCTATATGGCCACCAAGTAGCAGTGGCAGTAAAATACAGAGAAAGAAAGATAAGAGGCAAAAGTTACTAAGTGAAGAACTCGAAACGAGGCTGTATGTTACATAAGACTGGGCCTATATTAAAATCCTCTTGTCTTTCCCGTGGGTGTCGTAAGAAGCGACATAAGGAATTAAGAATGCAGGGTTCTGTTCTATTTTTTTTCGTGTTGGACACCGAGTCGTTTAACGACCCGATGAACCCTGGTGTCAGAGTTTTTAACCGCCTACTGCAAGTAGCAGGCCTCTGACATGGTTGTGTAACGACCGCCATCATAGACAGCAACCGGGAACGACGTGCCCATCCGAAGCACGGAACCATCTTACTTGCGGACAATCAGGTGGTTCAGCCTGCAATGTCCTAACCAGACTGGGAACAAATTCACAAAGTGATAAATATCAACTTTGTAAGTGACCCCACCGGGAATTGAACCTGGAACCTTTGCGTGGCAGGCAGGCATACTAACCACTGCGCCACATCGGTTCTCAGACGTGATGTAGGTAAATGGACTTTTTTTGCAGTCATTTTACGCTCTGCCTACCCCGCAAGGGATTAAGGCGTGATAAATGTATGTACTACAAAACGACAGAGGCAAGAAGAGGAGGCAAAATGCTATGAAAGAAAGATAAGAGGCAAACGTTTCAAAGTGAAGTCTCCATTCATTGCCAGATGAGACTTGAAATGAGGCTGCATTCCTTAAGATCGGGCCAATTTTAAGCTCAATTTGGAAACTGTCAAAAAGAGCCATAAAAGTGACTAAAAGCTATATGGCCACCAAGTAGCAGTTGCAGTAAAATACAGAGAAAGAAAGATAAGAGGTAAAAGTTACTAAGTTGAGAACTCGAAATGACGCTGTATGTTACATAAGACTGGGCCAATATTAAAATCCCATTGTCTTTCCCGTGGGTGTCGTAAGAAGCGACTTAAAGATTTGAGAATGGAGGGTTCTGTCATTTTAGGCGACATACTGACAACCTGTCTCTACAGTGATACACAGTATTTCGAATGCCTCATTTTCTCAGACGTGGTGTAGGTGAATGGACGTTTTTTGCAGTCGTTTACGTTCTGCCTGCAAGGGATTAAGGCGTGATAAGTGTATGTACTACAAGACAAAAGAGGCAGCAAAATGCTGTGAAAGAAAGATAAGAGGCAAAAGTTTCAAAGTGAAGGTTTGCATTCATCGCGAGATGGAAGATGCTCGAAGCTCGGAATGAGGCTGCATTATCTATGACCAAGAAAAGAGGTGGTTTTCGTTTCATGAATAGAAATGTAGGAAACTCTTTCAACGTTTCTACATTATTCTTGTTCTGTGTTTTATCTTGTGTGCAATAAACAGTTAAATAAATAAATAAATAAATAATTATTTTTACCCACGCCGGAACGGAGACTGTACTCGTTTGTATTTTGCGTTTGGGGTAAAAGAATGTTTGTGTGTTTGTGCTGCTAGTTATCTCCAAATCACTGGTCGGATTCGGATGCGGTTTCATTGGTGCATGTTTTTAAATAGGTATTACATGAAATGTATTGCCGTGTGATGCCGGCTTAGAATAGCATCACCCCAATTCTACCCGTGGGTGTCGTAAAAAGCGACTAAGGGATATTCATCCAGGGAATGGGCAGCAGCGTTCCCTATAAATGTAACATCTTGGCACTGCGCTCGCCAATCCGCCTGCCAAGCGTGGTGAGTATGGCAATACCCCCCCGATAGGGGGAGGCCCATGTCCAGCAGTGGACTGTTGTGGCTGTTATGGTTGGTTATGGTTACATGAAAAACTCGCCAGGGGGCGCTGCAGTAAAAATTTGTTTGTGCAAGCAGTTTTCAGAGGTAGATGGGGTAAGTATGTGTTTAGATATGTGTTACGCGAACAACTCACCAGGGGGCGATATAGTAAACTGTCGTAAGATTTTCAAAATTTAAATTTCGTTTTCCCTTTTGAAAAGAACATTTTGTAGGGATTATTAGGTTACTAGATTATTGCCGTGTGATGCCGGCTTAGAATAGCATCACCCCAATTCAACCCGTGGGTGTCGTAAAAACCGACTAAGGGATATTCATCCAGGGAATGGGCAGCAGCGTTCTCTGTAAATGCATCATCTTACACTGCGCTCGCCAATCCGCCTGCCAAGCGTGGTGAGTATGGCAATACCCCCCGATAGGGGGAGGCCCATGTCCAGCAGTGGACTGTTGTGGCTGTTAAAGTAAGTAAGTATTAGGTAGAGATTACATTTTTGTTTATTTAAACTTATTAACAAAATCTTTAAATGAATCTTGATCTTGCACAATATTGCACACTAGCGGCCCGCCCAGCGGTTTCACCCGCTGCTACTTACCGGTTTTCCCGTAGAAATTGGATCTTTGCCATCCGTATCTTTTATAGTTTAGACGGGATGCTGGGGGTCTACATCAGGTACCTACTCCAGACCCCCGTGACCATGTGCCAGCAGAAGCGGCCCGTCATGCTGAATAACTTTAACTTTGAAGCCATTACCGAATCTATTATAGTTTAGATGATATGCTGATAGTCTACATCAGGTACTCCAGACCCTCGTGACCATGACCAGCAGAAGTGACCCGTCATGCTGAATAACTTATACTTTGAAACCTATCACTTATAGTTTAGATGGGATGATGGTGGTCTACATCAGGTACTCCAGATCCTCGATAACTATGTGCCAGCAGAAGCGGCCCGTCATGGTGAACAACTTTTTCTATGAAGCCATGACCGTATCTCATATAGTTTAGATGGGATGCTGGTGGTCTTCATCAGGTACTCCAGAACCTCGATGACCATGTGCCAGCAGAAACGGCCCGTCATTGTTAACAACTTTTTCTATGAAGCCATGACCGTATTTCATATAGTTTAGATGGTATGCTGGTGGTCTTCATCGGGTACTCCAGATCCTCGATGACCATGTGCCAGCAGAAGCGACCCGTCATGGTAAACAACTTTTTGTATGAAGCCATGACCGTATCTCTTATAGTTTAGATGGGATGCTGGCTTGTAGCTTTCTAATGGTGAAAGAATTTTGGAAATCGGTCCAGTAGTTTCGGAGTTTATCGATTACATACATACAAAAAAACAAAAAAACAAACAAAGGTTTCCTCTTAATTATATTAGTGTAGATGTACAACTAAGTAGGTACAATTA